ATCTAGTGAGGGCTTCTTGCTGAGTCAAAACATGGCAAAGGTTATCACATAGTGAGGAATGGTGAGCATAAGACACAGAGAGCAAGAAAGTGGGAGCAAGAGAGTCAAAGAAGCTGGACTCAAGCTGGACTCAAGCCAGGCCCATGATAACTAACTCACTTCCAAGACAGACATTAATCCAGTCACAAGGGCAGATAGTTCACCACCTAATCACTTGTTAATACTGTTAAAAAGGCAATTAAATTTCAACATGAGTTTTGGAGAAAATATTCAAACCATAGCATCTGCCTATATCCCAAAGGGATGAAAAGTGACTTCTAGTCATGGGATCCTCATTCAGGTGTTAGATGGCCAGCATGATCATTCTTCTAATGATACAGGTAAAGATAGCTGCCCTCTTTGAATAGATGAGCAGCTTGTTGACATTAAAAAGCAAACAACATTCCTCTAGTTCCTTAAGGAAAGGAACTACAAATATAATTTGGGTGTACTACAATGGTGGTAGGAATGTGTAAAGTTGGATGTAGCCAGATACTCTCCTGCTGGGGTCACATAGCGTGCCTTATATGACCACAGCTGCTTCTGCCTCCCTCCAGGTTTCCTTCTATTCCATCCCAACCTCACTGCCTCCATAACTGACCCTTTTCTCTCCTGGCACCATCACTTCTCACCATCCAACAAAGGCTTAAAGGTCAGGGTCACTTTATGCCCTGTCTAAAGTCAGTTTGAAAGCCTGCCCTAGTACTGGAAATCGCTGTTATTTAAAGTAATGCCTCTAAAAGACTTATCATAGAGCAAATGTTAAAATACTATCTAATTATTATGGTTCAACTAACTAGCTTACTTTTAAGCACAGGAAAAGGATCTAACTTGTTATGCTTTGGAAAGGTATATGGGAGGGTTAAGAAGAATGATGATTAAATGGAAAAAGAATCAAGGTCTAAATAGGGTGGCATACTGTTTAGGGGCAACAGACAGCCATGACTATCTGAAGGACAAATTCCGTAAGCTCTAAGGTTCGGTTGCCTCTTCTACAGATACAGGTAGTTCCGTTATGTAAGACAATCTATGTAATGTATTTGGCATTATGCCAGGCATATAAGAGCTGAAAAAAATGTTAGCTAGGATACTATTGTTGAAGTTATATTAATAATAATAATAATAACAATGATAATCTTTATTAGCAGTAGTAACAGTAAGTGGCAGTATTTTGTGCCCTGAAAAGAGTTGGGTTAAGTTGATTCCAAACAGTCATTAAATGAGAGGGTAAGAAATTAAATAAGAAAGTAGGGGTGGGAGGGTTGAGGTCAATCTTTAGCTATGTCATAACTCTGCCTGGTTAACTATAATGGAAATATCCTGGCCAGAGACATTTTAGAGCCAAACACATAGAGACTCCAATCTGGCTCTGTCACTTGCTAATGTGACTTTAGGAAAGTTACTAAGCTTCCTAGTTGTAGTATACTTATTTGAGAAATGGGAATAATCACATCTTGATAGATAAGTGGCATAGAAAACATGTCCCCCCTCCTTCAGCTGGCTGAGGTCTTTCCTCTTCACATTATGGTTGGACTACAAATGAGAAGTCCACCTGGATAGGTGAGAAACACGAGAAGCAGCACTGTGGGCACTTTGCTAAGAGAAGAAAGACATCATCAGCTTCTTTATACCCTCCTCCCACTGGGGGAGCTGATGGAATGTACAGTAGGGCTCTAAATGTTAGAAATTTCACCCATATCTAGTTACATCATGTAGCAAAATAATTGTGAATCCACTATAATGTGTTACCATAAAGTGGAAGGCATTTAGCAAAAAGGAGCATGTGAAATACGTTTTCATAGGAGTTTAACTCTGAACATTCTGGTTTTGTACCTTAACATAAATGAAATCTTATTTTTTTCTGCCAAAAATTGAAGACTATGTCTTAAAAAGCTATAAATCTAATAGCTACAAATATCTTTCCATCAGCACTCCAAGATATTTACCATTTGATTTAAATTATATAGAAGATATGTCATCTGTGATAGTCCTAGCAAGTTTAGGAATCCTTCTCCATTGTAAATGTTACTTTCCTTGATGAAAATGTAATTACACTGGAAAACAATCTTCAAAATCATCTCATTTCTATTCTCAATATTATTGTTTCAATGTCTGCATTGACTTTAGAGAATATACTTTCTAACTTTAGAGAATATACTTCCCCTCATGCATTACCATTTGCTGCCAAGATTTTATTTTCATTAGGTGTTTTGAAAACTAATATGAATTTTGACATTTTAAGTACACTTTCAAAATACCCTCCTTCTGATTTATATAACAGTTCCTGACACTAATATGCAGTTATATGTCATTAGTTACTTAAATGTTTTCTGTAATTATGTAAATTATGTTGACACTTTCTGGTAAGATGCTTAGACTTTACTATTTTATCATTTGCAATGTTCTGAAATACATCAGATAATCATTTTCAATCACTTTCAAATTAAACTGCTAAAGACATACTGTCTTGTACAGACTACTGGTACACTATCTGCTCTGTACATTCTCTCTCTCTCTCTCTCTCTCTCCTCCTCCCCCCATGGACATTTCTTGTCACTGACTGTGGAGCTCATGATCAGACAGAGGGAAGTACCATCAGGTACTGGTCTATAGGTTATTACGAGTGAGTGGAAGACAGTGTTATAATAAAGGCATGAGTAGTTGCCATGACAGAGGACAGACCAACTTGCTGGTCAGATGAGCCAAGGAAAGCTTCACAAGTGAAGTAATCTGGAATCTGAGTTTTGAAGTATCTGTAGGAGTCTGGTGAGTGAGAATTGGGAGGGGAAGACCTCCCAGGCTGTTGCACAGGTAGAGGCACAGTCAGAAAAAATGAAGAGTTAAGGATATCCAGGACATCTAGGATTCAGGAACCCAAGCATTAGCCAATACCACTGGAGTGTTGGGGTGTATTGGGGATGGTTTATAAAGACATGGAGGCCACACGGGGACAGAAGAAAACCAAACATAGATGTGTTTATTATATAAAGAGAACTGATCACTTCCAATTTTTCAGAACATAACCAATAAGGTGTGGAGGACAGACAGATGCTCAACCTCTCTGCAATAAGCAGCCTAGGATGATAAGTACTGTCAACTTATTGGGAGAAGGGAAGGGAAAACAATCTCTCTCCATCTCAGTTATGCTTAAGTCAAATAAAAATGCATTCCAGTTGTTGCTGGATGGTCCGGGAGGGTATGGCAAAGATAAAAGTAGTGTCTAGAGCAGTTTTCAAAGACTATTGAAGAAAACATTGTGACAAATACAAATATCCTCTGCTTAACACTGGAGAGTCCCAAGAAGGGCTGTGACCCACCACATCTCTGCCATGTTGTGGTCCATCACAGCTCTGACAAGTCTACTCATGGGGACATGGCCCATCAAGTTTCTGCCATAATAATGTTTTAGGGTAGGCATGGTCTACCTCACATACATTTCATCCAAGTATTGAACCCCCAAAGAAGTAGTTATTCTTAGCCACATTACTGCCTAGATAAAGAAGTAGTTGAAAAAACAAAAATGGTTAAGGTAGTGGTACTGGTTGTGACAAGGGGTGTTGGGAGATATCTAACTCAAATTTTAGTTAAGATCATAATGATGAAAGATGTCAATGATGGAACAACAAGAGAAAGAAGGTTTAGAAATGGATTAAATAATAAATGAATATATGAATAAATGTATAATAAATCATGAACTAGATGAGAGAAGTAAATTCTTAGAAAGGAATATAAGAAAAGGTAGTTTTAAATAAGGAAGAAAAAGCAAAAAAGGAAGATAAATCAGAGAAAGAGATAACATAAAAGATAAATATAGTGAATGATATATATATATATTTTTTTATCCCCTCAAGATGCTATTTTTCTTCCCCATATGCTTTTGAATTTTCTTGATGAAGATGAATCATTGGAGAAATTGGACACTGAACTCCTAAAGAAAATCTCTTCTCTTTTTCATTCTTCTACAACCATTTTTCTGAAGTGTTTAGGGTTTTATCTTAAGGAAACCAAACCCATGAGATAAAGCATTACCTACTGGTCTAGAGATAGATCTATCTGTACCTTATGGCTGCATCCTTGGAATGGGGGTGGGAGATCACACTTTCTAAATCTTAAGGAAACAAAGGGTAGCTAATTTGTTGCAAGTGCAACTCTCCAAAATTGTTTTGGCCATGAGTTTTCCCAGACACCCCACAAAGGCAGTAACCCTGGTCTTAGACAATCCTCATTTTCATACTTTCAGGGGGCAGATCTCCCATGGAAATTGAGAAGTATCAGGGAGACCTAGAAAGCACATGAATTTAGAATAGGTTTTGTACATCCTCACCCAGAAAAGGTGGAAACAGGCAGATAGATACTTCCCTTCCTCTCTCAACTGCAAGGTCTATGAGGAGGCCTGAAACTGGTATGAGGCCAACCCATTCATGAGCACCATACAGGGGTAATCACCAAGTAAAATAGCAGTTACTTTTCTTCAAGACACAATGTGAACAACACTTCTGCCCAGCATCTAGGAACACACAAGTATGTACAGGAACAAAGAAAGAGCCTACAGTCAAACACCACTGGGAAGAAAATGAGGCCATAATGGTCCAGTCTCCTCAGTGTGGGTATGTAGAGGAGGCCCTCTAATAATACATCAAACAGGCAACCTTGAGCTGAGAGACCACCCAACTGCATCCAACAAGAGGTACCATGCACTCACAGAGAGCCACTAACATAGGAGGCCCCTTATTTGCAGCACAGGGTGCACTTGTGACAACCTTTTATGCATCAGGAGGCAAGCATGAAGTAATATTATTTCAGTAGGGAAACTGATTTCTGCTTCCTTGTCCCAGTTGAAGGAAACAAGAAAGAACTGTCAATTCTAAACATCTAGAAAATTAACAGGTGCATGAGAACTTTGAGTATAGCTCAGAACAGGATTAAAGGCAAAGATGGAAGGTTTTCAAGGCATCTCTTACCTTTTTGTCACTCAGGCCAGAAACCTGGTCCACATATTCTTCTTGGATCATGAAGGCAGCTAAGTTGGCAGTGTAGCTGGCCAGGAAAATGACAGCAAAGAAGGCCCACACTGACACCATGATCTTGGAAGTGGTCCCCTTTGGGTTCTGCACAGGTACAGAGTTGTTAAACACCAGACCCCAGAGTAACCAAATAGCTTTGCCGATGGTGAAAGATGGGCCACCTGGCTCTGGTGTGACAAAAAGATGAGGACAAAAAGTTAAGTCAGAATTATTGGTTCTTTGTCAACTTACAAGTACACAGAGCTGAAAATACCCTGCTAAGAGCAAGGACTTAGTTCTTAACCAAGCCCATTTATAGGCAGTTGTCTCATTTAAGAATTGTCTCTCCTCTCCAAGGAAAGGCAAAAAAGGGCTCATTAAGAGAAAAAAAAACAGAGCCCTGAGGTATGTAGAAAATCTTTGCCCAAATAATAGGCTTCTCTTCTCCATATACAAAAGCATCAAGAGCATGTGAAAACGAGTAACAAAGGCTGACTAGTCCACTATAGTACTTGGGTCACTACAATTTTTCCTAAATTTTATATTTGTATCTACCAAGGAAGTAGTTCAACTTCCCAAACATCAACAAGAACTGTGTGAGGTCTTTTTCTACCACTTTCATAAGTCTCTTTCAAGTCTATTCACAGACACTTGAATGGCTTTGAATGTACTTTTCGCTGACTTTTCTTTAGCTTCTAGCACTTAGCACCAAATACTTCATTCAGACAGTCTCAACACCCCCTCTTCCCACTTCCAATGCCAACACTTCCATCTGGCTTCCTACAGTAGCAGTCTCTGTGTAAAAGAATATCAGGAAGCCTAGTGAGGAAGTCATCAATCCCTGGCCTGGCCACTTGTATTTGAGTGCAGAAAGTTAGTTGTGCTTGACTTTGATTTCCCTCTACTCTATCTTTATGCAGATGGAGTCAGGGCTTCTGCTCATAGTGTATGGTGGCCTCACTGCTATCCCTGAGTGGGGAGGTTGAAATCCTGCCTGTTGTCTGAATTTCCATGAAGCCCCTCCACTGCACAATAAACATCTGCCTGTGCAATTTTACAACATATTAACACAGATCTTCTGATGTTTTCTGTGATCTTGACAACATCTGCTCAGCCAACTAAATCATCCGGGACTGCACATGTTGAACCTGATATCTAACTGTGCACACACATCTGTGCATGTGGACCTGATTTCATGCAACAGATGTGTAACTAAAAAATTATTTGTAAATCAAAGTTTTTTAAATTGGAAAATGCTCTAAGGAGACTTTATGTAGACTGACACTGTGTGGAATTCCTTTGTGAAGGTAAGCATCCTATGGTAGTATGAGTAACTGTAAGCTGTTGCTTTGAGTTTTGTGAATCTGGATCTTCATCTTCTGGTATTTTTTCCAGGGTGAGAGGGGAGTGCACACTGACTTTAGTTCTTGACATTGCTGGCCTATGTATGTACTCATGTGATTCTCAGATGTTTCACTTCTTACTCATACTCCTCAGGCTGGCCCTTGCTTCTGGATGGCCCTTAGCACAGTAGGGAAGAAGGCACTGGGGATACGTGAAGATTTCCATCCCAGAAAATACAAACCAAATAAAAAGGTAGGTCAACCCTTGGAAGTTTGTCTGTGAAGTGGCAGTTCTCAGCTTGAGCTGTGGATCCCACAGAAGCTCCAGGGGTATTTTACTAAGGGTTGTTTACCCATTTTAGAGGTTCTTAAGCTGGTATGGGTGGAACTTGTCATTTTAATGTAAAACCAAGCTAAAAAGCCACTATTTTGGAACATATAGTGGTTTAAGCCCAACTTATATTTAAGGAATCAAAAAATGAGATCCAGGCACCTTTACCTTTTAAATTTCCTATAGATAATTCCCACTAGCAGCTAGGGTTAAGAACACTTCTCCTGGAGGTTTAAATCCAAGAGAACTCCCATTCTGAAAGAAGAAGACTTAGAGAAATGGCATATTTCTTAATCCTGGGGTTAATAAGGAAGTTTTGGAAGAGCTATTTACCGGGAACCCATGCCACACCTTCAAAAATCTAGTGACTTTTTAAAAGCATTATGCCTTGACAGTTTTCACCTCACTATGCCAACCTACTCTGGAAATTCAACCCTTCCTATAGTAGCTATGAGTCAGAATTGGCTTCCCCCGTCCATTTTATTTCAAACATCCAACTCCCTTGCAAGGGGTTTGGGGCATAGGCATAATCTTTGAAAATCTTGTACCTCAGTAGTGATCCTTTGGCTGTGGGAAATTCTGTCAACCACAGCACCCTGCATAAACCCTGAGGAAACCTATTTTTCCTTATTGTTAATATGTGTGTATAATCAGGCTTATTGGTCACATCTGTTCCAACAGACCGCACATAGCCTATAATCACAAAATAGTTCCTTGGGACAGGATTATGCTACTGTCAAGTTTCCCTTTCATTTCTCTAGCAGTGGAACTGGGCATGAGGCTGGCATGAACCAAAAGGGGACACAGATATTTAAACTAACATCTTAACTGGGGTATTTCTAAAGAGTCACAGGCTGATGACATGGAAGATTGAAGGCTTCCCCCCACCCCCAAGAAATGGATAAATCAGGGAGGAAGCAGATAACCATTGAAGGGTTCAGAAATTCAGAATTAGGAACTAGAAACCTACAGAAGTGCAGTGACTCCAGCTGGCCTTACCTCTGCCATCAGCGAGGCACCTGTTATAACCCACAGGGCTGAAGTATTCAAAGACAAAGACAGCCACGGCTGAGACAATGAGTAGCATCACGAACATCATCACCCATACGTCAGCACTGAATGGCTCTGGGAAGGAAAGAAAACACGGCTTAGGGTCAAAACAGAGAACGACCAGTGCTGGTTATTTCATATATTCATCTGCTCATGCAAACCCATATTTGGGCGGGGGAACAAACCCCCAGTTAAGTGTGTTGCATGCCTTCAGTGATCCAGGGTCTGGGTTAGGGAGAAAGACAATGTGTCTGAGAAACTCCATTCCCTGGATGGACATGTCAAGGTTATTGTTTTCAAACACATGAGGAAGACAGGTTCATGCATCTGAGCCTTTTGAGGTTTGTTGAGGTAGTTCCTGCCACTGTTGGGCTCAAACCCGGGTCTTTCAGCAAAAGTAAAATTAGAGAAAGTACTAGATATGGTACAAGTAAATTATATTGAACTGAATTGCATTATGCTTTCATTTATATGGCTACATTGCAAAGTGGAGACCCCTAAAAGCCTTCCTCTTAGAAGTGCTTCTGAATCTGGTAAAAAAAAAATTAATTCTCAATAGCTTTAACTACTATTTCAGAGTTGAACTGCTTTAGTAATAATTATGCACAATGACTAAAATGTCCCTTACTCCCTTGCTTCACTTCTCTTAAACGTTCCAGTCTAGTTTTACTTTTCCAACCCACTTTGATGTGGTATTTTTATTAGACATCGTTAGGATATGAGAATAGAAGTCAATGTTTAAAAATACATTCACGTTGAGTATCAGGATCTGCAAATGCAGAGTGGGGGAGAGTTAGCAGGTGACAAGGGAGCATGTTAACAAAACAATTACAATCTGTCTCCTATTCCTGGGTGATAGAGTTGATTGGACAAGCTCAGGCAAGATAGCAAGAATTTTCTATAGTTGCTTTATTTAATATCTTTAATTATTTTTGCTGAGTCTCTTCTAGTTGAGCTAAATCTCTCTGACTTGAAGGTGTCCACAAACTGAATGCTATATTCCAGAGGCCATCTCTCTGAAGGCTTATACACAATGGGACAATCGTTATTCTGTCCCATGATACAATGCTTGGCTCCTTCAATTGTGTCCCAAAATAGTTCTGGCCTTTTTAGCTGTCACATCACATTGGAAACTCATAGCTAAGTGAATTAACATGCTGTTTTCTCATCTTCTAGATCATTAATAAAGATGAAGTTGAGAAAAGGAAAAATTGGCTGAAAATTAGAAAATATATTTCTTACTTTGAAACCTACATTGCTATTGAACTTCCAAAGGAGCTATAAAAGCCTGGTCACTTAATCAATTTAAAAAAGGACCTTAACAAAGCTCCAGAGCTTAACACACCAACTGTGAAATGCAAAACCTTTCAATGGCAGCCAGGGACTCAAACAGAGACGTAAAATTTGGAGCCTCTCTGTGGTGGTGAGGGGAAAATTCCCCCCCAACTTCCAACAGTAATTGATGAAAATCCTACCCAGATCTCACCTTTTTCTAAGATTGGGGAATAATTGAGTGAAAACATCACTCTGTGATTTCTTTTCCCCCAACAAGCCTATATACAAAATACAACAAACATCTGTATTGGTCTTTAGAATTTACCAAGTACTTTCTCCACCTACTATTACATAAAATCCTTTTTATGGCTCTTTCATTGTGGAACTACTGTTATCTACTGTACAGAAAAGTAAACTAAGACTGAGAGGTCAAAATTCTTTCAAAGTTCATACTCAGAAAGTGGTAGAGTCTGATATGAACTGAGGGCCTCTAAGCCACAAAGTCTAGATTTTCCCATTGCATCTTTATCCCTGTCTACCATGTTGGTTCTGTATTAAGGGTGGAGCTCCAAAATGGCCAGATGTGGTCCTGAGCACAGGCTCTAAAGGCTACCATAACTGGACTTTATCATAGGTCAGTTGGTTACTAGCTGAGAAGTGGCTGGAAAATGGCTTAACCTGTCCAATATTCCATTTCCTAGTCATAAAATGGGTATAGTAATAGCATCAATGAGTTAATATAACCCAAGTATGTATATTAGTGCCCAGCACATCACACAGTACTTCACAAATTTTGGCTTCCCTTATCCCTACAACTGACTAACTAACCCTTGTCCAAACATACACAGAAACATACTCTGCTTAGTATTTCTGTACTCCCAAAGCTAACTGGTTCTTCCAGTTTAGAAGTTATGGTTCATGCTATCCTGACAGGGTTAGAGTTAGAATGTATTTGTATCTCTTAATGTTCTAATCATTCTTACAAAGGAAAATGCAAACAAATTGCATCCAGTAGCTATGATGATTAATGCATACAGTATATGCTATCTATAACACTTCACATAAAATCAGTGAGGCTAGGACACCCTCTCTTGGTACCCCTCTCAGCTCTGGTGGCTTCACTCTCTGCTACTTTTCTATCTCAACAAATTCTCCCACTTAAAAAAAAATTAGTGGGGCTAGAATTTGCTTCACTGTGAATAAGAAGATTGGCTAATAAACTTGAGTAATTTATAAAAAAAGTTCTCTGGAAACTATAACTCCACTTTGTGGTGCATTAATTGAATTGACTCCTTATGGATAGAACTTAAAGAAATGTTAGTCACTGTCTGTTCTAATAGTCCCATTTAAAAACTGTTGATGTCCTTTAGGGTGACAGTGACTAGTCCAAGGATAGCTTGTTTGGAGACAAATCTGGCTTTTTGTCTCCTAGCCCAACATTCTGTTTTCAAGGTGACATTTTTATTTCCCACTTCTTTGCTCTATAACCCCTGTAAAAAGAACTGGGTATGAGCCCATAAAAAACAAAAAAAACAAAAAAACCTCATCTAATTGAAGTCTTGGCCTTATCTCATCCAATCTTATATCACATCTAAGGCATTTGACGTTTAAGAGGACTAGAGAGTAGGCAGGTAGAGAATGGTATAGAGTATGGGGTAGAGGGAGCATCAGATCAACTCTGGCTGGCAAAGCCTTAGAAAATTCATCTAAAAACAGAAAAACTTTTTTGGTATCACTGAGCTCAATTCTTCAAGATAATTAAAAATAAACAGCTATCCCAATAATATCCAGAGTTACAAATTATTAGAGCAGGAAACACCTTCAGAGCTCAGCTAGTTGGAATGGCTTCTCCTATGGATGAGGAAACTGAGTCCTGAGAAGGAGCAAATCGGCTCAATGTCAGATGACGACTAAGCGGCAAGGACGACTAAGAGGCCTCTGATGATGAGTCCAGGAGTGTTTTCTTATAAGGCATCATGCCTTCCTGTTTTTCTGGATATTCTTCAGTTTTCATGTTTGAAAATACTCAATTATGAAACCCCCAAAATGAAGTCCCTAGGTGAGTTAAGCTCTTGACCACCTCCTGGCTGAAAGAGCCTGGCCATGTGTTCCTGCAGTTGTTCCTCATTCCATCTACTTGTCCTTGTGTCCATTTCCTGCCACTAGCAAACACATCATTTACCTAAGAAGGCAGAAGGTGAGACAGTCCCATTGCTGCGTGACACCATGACACTGATGCCAGTCTCTATGAAGGGTACAGAGAAGTCAACAACCTCCGATCGCTCCTCGTTGATGGTGAGAGATCCCACTGCCATGTAAGCCCTCTTCATGACCACCTGAAGAGAAAGGTGCAATGATCCAATTAGAACATTCAGGAAGGCAAGGCCACCATGAGGAAAATACTCATGACCCAGCAGTGATTTTTTTTTTGTATAGTGAGAAAGGTAGTTCTATTTACTCTTTCATATTTTCCAAAATCCATAAAATGAACATTCAAAAAATATTTAAACAAAACCAAATGAGTGAAAAATGGAAATGCCCTCACTTCCTGACACTCACCTCTCCAATCATACCATTCCAGGTTCCATTGATTTTTTTCCCATGCTTGCCATTGGTAACTAGGTAAAGGTCATAGGTGAACTTCACAGATTTAGAAATTTTCTTAAGGATGTCGATACAGAACCCTTTGCAGCATTTTTTGATGTAGCCCGGCTCCTCATCTGTTTTATTCCTAGCCAGTTAAAGAAACAAAAGACAAAAGCAAAGCTTTGGATAAGAAGCAAAGTTTTATTCTTTGTCATTAAATTCAAACCTTAAAGCAGCCCACCCCCTTTTACAGCACAATTTATATCAAACCTGAGTAAAGAAATAAATCAGAACCCAGAACTGCAATATCCTCATTATTTCATTACATCAAACCATGTTTTCTCACAATTTTTAATGTTTCTTTGAAGAATAATATGCATCCAGAATGGTTGTATATCCTAAGGATTCAGTTCAGTGAATTTTCTACTGAACTCACCATTTCAATGAGTACCTGAGTCCAGGTACAGAAAAGTTACCAGTACCTGAGAAGCCTCCTATTCTCCCTTCCAGGCACTGTCCACACTCACCAAAGGCAACCATTATCTGACTCCTAACAGCATAGATTGGTTTTATATATTTCCAAAAGTTGTTCAAAATCTCAAAATTGGGGAATATATTGGTCCAAGAAAGCATAATTTCGATAACCGAAGTAAACTTAAACCTCCACAAACTTGAGGTCCCAGTCTCTAAGGCCTTGTGCAGGCCAAAGGAACCTTTGCAGATTACCAATCATTCTCTCTAGAAACACAATCAGATCATAGGCTGCAAGTGATGCCACAGCTAAATAGCAGGAAACTGGACATGCTGCCCAATTCATGGTGCTAAATTCTGCCAGGTGCTAATAGCTGGCCCAATTCTGATGGTCCCATGCCACCCAGAGCCATCGAGGAAGGTGCCGTACTCAGAGACTATGCGTTTTTGGCAGGGGACTGTGTTCCTCATGCAGGTTCCACTCAAAGGGTCCACGCTTTCCACAATGACAAATGGTGCCTCCTCCAAGGTCACAATGCTCAAGTGGTCATCCTCCTGCTCTTCGGTCTCAGGACACATCCGGGGCCACACGTAGTATTTCATCTGCAGGGACTTGTCTTTCCACTTTCCCACCTGCACAAAGATGAACAAAAGACTCAGAAACCAACAACCATGACATACCAGCCCCTGCTAGCATTGTCTGAATCTTCCCAGGAAGCTGTTACATGAAGGCAAACAGATGCAAACATTGTACGTAATGAAGAGAATACTTTCTAAACCATATGCTCAAAGTGAGACTACTGTGTCCAAATCCAAGGGAGGCAGTGCATTCATTCATTCACTCACCCACTTACCAAGCATTTAGTGAGGACCTACTATGTGCTAGGCACCCCGCGAAGCTCCCAAAGCAGCATGATTCTGCTGTTCATCAAGCTCACACTGACTGAAGATGTAGGAAACATAAACAACTGTTGTTAGTGCTGTATGATAATTGCTTCAATTGAAGTCTGTACCCAGTACTGCGAGGATGCCAAGAGTCTCCCAAATTATGAGTGGCTGTCAGGTTTTGTATTTAACTGTAACAAGGAACATGATGGTGACAGCAGCAAACAGTGTTGGAAAGGCCAACAGAAGGACTTTAGCAAACGGCCTGGAATGATGTGCTCTGGCTTGTAACAGAGGCCCAGTACCGAACCATGTAAAGAACTAGGTAGATCTGAATTGGAATAAATTGAGATGAAAGAATACAGACACAACTTGTTTGGGGCAGGGGCATGGTTGGTCTGGTGATGATCAAATAGGTCAATGCAGATCTGCATGTGCTGGCCTGGGTAGCCACCATGGGATATGTCAGATAGGTCTCTCTGTAATCAGACCACACAGTTTGTGCACCCCATTGCCCAGACACACCATTCTCATGATTCTAATGTGAAATGTAAATGCTTTCTGAACTCACACTCATTGAGGCCCTGCTACCAATCACAAGGAGAAATGTGTGGGTGCAATTATCTTTTAGACAAGCCATTCAATAGTATTTTTATGATAGAATCTCCATGACTTTGATGGTGGTTTTGTGTTTTCATTGTGCCATTGAGTTTATATGGAGAAAGAAGGAATACTTTAATTTTCTACAGCTGAGACTCTTTAGTTATCACAAGGAAGGTAGAATTTTCCCAGTCTACAGTTTTCTCCATGTAGCAATGTAAAACAGCAGAACAAGTGAAAAGCCAGGAATACAAAACTACTGACTGTATTTAATTCCAGAAATCAATAAAAAGCAATAGATTGGCAGGACTTCATAAATTTTCAAGCAGGTAGGCATGGATTTCCACAGTAATGCTAAACTCAAATTCCCTCTTTTCTGTGTTTCTGCTTTTGTCTGCATTTTGGTTTTATCTGGTGCCTCCTTGGGTATGGTCATTTCTTACTGTCAGCTTGTCCCACAGTGCTGACTACTTCAATGTCTAAATTAGGTCCACACAATCACTGCTTTTGTCTATGGCATCTTATAATGTGGGCAGTGATTTTGTGAATTGGGCTATGTAGTTTGACACCTGCACAGTCTTTCCCTGGCATTAATCTTGGCACTGGATGGATTTCTTCCAACTGTGCAAATAATATTTTTGCTTCTTTGTTCAGAATTATGCATTGAACCAAATGTTTGTTTTCCTTCATATGTTCAGATGCTTCTTGACCTACGATGGGGTTTTGTTCCAATAAATCCATTGTAAGTTGAAAATATAAGTTGAAAATGCATAACACCCCTAACCTACCGAACATCATAGCTTAGTAACACAGTAGTACACGGTAGAGTGTTGGTGGTTTACCCTCATGATCATGAGAGAGTATCCTACCACATCTTACTAGCCCAGGAAAGGTCCAGATTTGTATTTTTAATTATGGTTTTTATTGAATGCATTTCATTTTTGTATCACGAATTAAGTCATTGAAGTAGGGGCTATCTGAATAGCCTTCTCTGGACCATTGATCTTGATTTTGTTCCAAGTCTCATTTTTCTCATGTTGTCAAAACTACATCTAAAGCAGAAATTTCCAAATGGCTTCCTAGAGAAGTAGAGACATTAATATATTCTGTCAGTGGTTGGGGGCAGATGGAGCTATGGGGAGGGAAGACCTAACTCTGAGGATGATGACGTTGGGTTCCTCTGACCTCAGTAGCCATCTTTAACCCCCGTGGCCAAACCAATATTATTTTATGCATACTCAATAATGTGGAAAAGGCTGGAAAGATCTAATGTGCCATTTTTTTCAGTCCTATCACCTTCCCTTCGACAGTTCCTTTTGATTTTTTTCTTATAAATCCAAATTCATTCTTCTATGTCTTCACTGTGACCAGACTAGCCCAGAGTAGTTCACCAGTTCATTCTGCATTTTTGCAGGAAACTTCTAACCTCACACAAGTTTCCCTCAGAGTACACTGTGAACACCACTGCCAGATGGCTTTCTTAGATCACAACTTCATTACACAACCTCTATTCAAAAGTTCAACAACTCAGTGCCCTCGGGATCATGTCCAAACCTCTCATCTAGATAGTCAAAGAATATGCACTGAGTCTAGCCTATCTTGTTACATACAGACACTATTGATACTTGATACTCACTATTTTGAGTCATGAGTTCTTCATTCAACTCAGGAAAGGAAGTTGCTGGCATTAAGAACCAACACAGGTTAATCAGGAACAGATTGCAAAAAGCCAGCTGCATTTTCTTTGCTAACAGACTTGCTATATCTGTAAGGAAAAGATGCTGCAGACATAGCATTTTGGCAAATTTTCTATTGACATTCTTGTGAGCAAGATGACTATAACATAGATTATTGCATACTTTGAAAGATTGGAAGAGAGTTTAAAATCTATATCTAAAAAGAAGAGAAAAGATTATTTAATGAATCAATGTCAACCTAAAAGGACCTCTTTAGTGACATGTCAGTGGGCCTTGTTCTTAGAAGTGACCTATATAATGTTTTTAGAAAACAAAACAGAAGTGTTGTTCACAAAATTGCATACAACACAAAGCTAAGAAAACAGAAGACATGATGCACTGAAGAAGAAAGCTTGGAAGAGGTATAAATGAATTGGAATGATAGACTGAACCAAATGGAATGAAATTTAACAGTATTTATTCATAAAGTCTAGCATTTAGATTTTTAAAAAGCAACTGCACATTACTAAAGGGGGGGATTTCAATCAAGAGTTGTCTATGAAAGCTATTGCAAGCACAAATATTTGCAGACTTACAACATTCAGCACATGGGGTAAAGGAGGGCATGGAAGACCCTACCCTGCTCTGTGCTCATCATATCACAGTAGGAAAGCTGGGTTCCTATCCTACAATTCAATGATCTGCTGATTTTTCATTAAATATGACATTACTATTTCCTCATTAATAATTTCCCTATGCTGTTCTCCTTTCCCAACTTTCAGACCAGCTGGATCAGATCTCTGTTTCATGTCAATTAAATTCAGCCAACAACAATTGCACACCAAGGTTATGCCAGATATTGGGCTGTGTGCTGCAGGTAATAAAACCATGTTAACACTTACCGAGGGCTTACATGTACTAGTCGGTGAACTTGTCTAACAATGTACCAATCATCCCAGAAAACCTAGGGGATGGATTCTCAATTAATGTCTCATTCTACAAAGGGGTTTGATGACTTTTCTAGGGTTTCAAGGTAGGTGATTCCTACGTGCAGTGCCAGGATTTGAAACTGAGCTTGCCTTTCTGCCCACCATGCTGACTCGCTTCTCTGATAATGAAGGAGTAAGATGTGGTCATGTTTTCCAAGGACAGGCAAGAGAGACTTTATCTCCAAAAATGTTGAGTGAGGCTTTGGTAATCACCCTCATAGAAGGTATAAATAAATCCTCTCTGGATTTAGAGTAGAAGTAATAATTTCTGAAAGAGTCAGGGCAAAGACCCTTGTCTTTGAGCTGGGCCTTGAACCCACCCTTAGGTGAAGTGTTCTTTGTCCACTATGCCAGGTCAGTTCTCCTTTTCCTTAAAGACCTGGGATGATCACCACCCTACTCTAATGCCAGCTGCACCACCTTCATCCTGCTCAATGGCGTCAGGCTGGCAGCTTGGAACTGGGATGGCTACTATGAAATCAGTAAATACTACAAATCAGGACTTCCTCTGTCTTTCCCAGTTGTGAAACATTTACCAGCTTACCACTGCCCAGAATAACCAAGCCATTCATTATTCCATGCTATTTGCTTCCTTCTTAAATGATTCTTTAAAGCATTCCAAGTGACTTTTCTTCTAAACTAACTTGCAAGTATATCTCTTAAGTATCTCAGAGGCTAGGGATAAATTTCTAAAATTCTCTGAACCTCAGTTTGCATATCTGTAAAAATGGCGAGTGGATTTCTAAAGTGCCGTCCACATAATTTCATAATCTGTTGCCTCTTTAGAGTGGAGGCTCTCAACAACATTTCCTACAGATAAGAGTCCAAGGGAGAGGCTGCTTAGCGGTCACTTCCAGAAGCGAGGGCAGTATTTTATTTGTTTATAGGAAAGATCTGCTTGTCTTAAGCCATGATTCTTTTTTTTCCTCAAAGAAGATTGCAATGAGAAGGAAACAAATGCATGGGCTAACATTCAAATTCAAGGTTAACAAATGCATGGAAGGATAAAAGGAGAAAGTTTTGGAGAATCAAAACCCACTACAAATATCAGATTCATGATGGCAATAAACAGTATTCCTGTTAGAGGACATGTTTGGGCAGTTATCTCAAATCCTTCTTGTTTTTCTTTTGCGTTGCTGGGGATCAAACCAATGGCTTTGTCCATTTTAGGCAAGTGCTCTACCACTGATCCACATTCTAAGTCCTGCCTCAAATTCTTTAAGAGCAAGGCAGATTATAAATGATCAACCACTAAAAATTAAATATAAGGGGATAAATTTATGCTGAAATGAGGTATGTTTAAAAGCAATTCTTCCTTCAAGAGGAAGGTAATAAGGTGAAAATATTATAAATGAAAAAGGTTGAAAGAACAACAAGGAATAGTAAATATAGAAAGAGAAACCCAAAACTCTGAGCGGAAAATTAGTGAAAGCTTGTGTAGGAGATTGAAAAGGCTGAGTATATAATCCTGGAAATGCAGAGA